TGAACCAAATGTATACATTTAAGTCTTTCTTTCTGCATATAGTTACTTAGGTATAAACCAGGGAAGAGTCTTAAGAAGGCTGTAAGACAGGTAAATCTTTAGCCGTTGCACTGCATTTGTCACTAATTTGGTTTTCACGGTATGCATACATAGCTAGCAATGGATACTTACGCGGCCTGTTATTTTGATCCTTTCTGTTGCAGACTAGGACCGAGTTCTCCCAGGCCAGGTGGGATAGATGGATGGATTGCTGTCCTGCTTTGTCAGTCAGCCAGCAGGTGATAGATGGGACTAACGATAGTATATACTTATGTCAATACTTCATCTTTTAAAACTGGCATAGTTGTTTTCTTCCTTATGAACCCACCTTGTTTTCAGAACAGAGCCAGGCATTTGTATTGGTAGATTGAGGCACAATTCAAATACTTTTAGGAATCTGTATGTTTCAGAATAAATTGGAGCTAAATGACTTAGAGATTTGTCTGCTCTGCCCCTGCCTCTGTGTAGGTGTCCTCATAGAACAACGGGCCTGAAATCCTGGGAATGTGATGCTTTTTTTTTTTTTTTTTGAGCTAGCTGTTTTAAATGTAAAATCCCTTGATCTGATTCTGTTTGCACTAGAGGGTCGTTGCCCTTCTGTGAGGATCTGCCCTTGACGGGAGGTTTATGGGTGTGCTGGAGAGAACGCGCAGTGCTCGATTGGGCTCAGAGGGACTGCGCTCATATTTGGGTGGCACCGATTGATGAGACCTGTCTTTTTTTTCAGTACTGCGTGTTTACCTTAGACGTCCCATAAATTCTGGCTATTCTGATATTTCTGGGGTAAAAGATGAATGGGTAGGATCTGTAACCCTGCTAACGCTGTTTGTGCTGCTCGGCCTGTGGAGTGGTTGCTCCTGATGCAGATGACAGCAGAAGTGTGAGCTGGTCAGAAGTCGCTGGCCCGGTCACAGATGAGGTTGCTGTAGAGGATGCCAAGGAAGGCTGCGTGGCAGAGCTCCTATTTCCAGTTTGCCACCAGCTCTGGTCTGTGGCACTGTGAGATGCAGGAGAACAACATGCTGTGAATTTGATGTGACTGGTAACAGCACGGGAGCTTAAAGATGTACAACTTGTATCTGGAGCTCATCCTGTATAGGTGACCTGTAGGCCTGTAGCTGAGCGTGGAGAAGAGGATGGTGATTATCATTTGAACACTAGTAATCCATCCCGGGTTGTTAAAAGCCTTGGATCCATGTCCAGTTTTAGGACTTCAGTAAGGAGCTGGTGAGAGGTGTGGGGAGCGGTAAAGGATGCGCTTGCTTGTCCTTTGCTAACTGTGAACAAGAGAAATGTGTGAACTGCTCATCTTCAGTGCAGTCAGAGGGGATTTCCCTGTCCTCCCTGCACTAGCACATGTGTTGAAGTTGTATATTATCAGAAAAGGCTTTTCTCAGTTTGTCCACAACATGTTTTGTACCAGTGTTACCTTCTTATCATTCTCAGCAACACATGAGACGCTGGGGGCACAATGTGAAAATATTTTGAGTCCTCTGTGGACCCAGACTCACAAATGTGTGCACTGATGCTGCGGAGAAACAGGCTGAATCTCTGTGACCTCCCCCTGCTCAGTGAGAGCTTTACCCTGGAGTCTGTGACTGGGGAAGGGTGCCAGGAGAGTGCTCGGTCCCCGCTGAGGTCGTACAGCATCACCTGAGCAGCACCAAATGGAAATGGAGCCTGGGCATCTGAATTAGGTAACACATGTGGTCTGTGAGGCTGTGCCCAGGGCTTTTTGTCTGGGGATGAGTTTGTCATGGTGCTCACAAATATTTACAGAGTCTGTCACCCGGTCATGGGTGCCCAGGAGTGACCGTGAAATGGGGATGCCGGTGAAAATGGGAACAGCCGTATCTTGAAGGAGGAGGCTCTAGCTGAGCTATTTGACTGACCATGCTTGATTGTCCTGGACTTGTAACACCACAAATAATGAAAAGAATTTCCAGCAGTAAATTTTCTGCATCTGCTTTATTTGTAACCTGGACGGCAGTGGCTGTGGAAGTGAGCCAATGCAGTGCTGCGGCTCGTGCATCCTGAACAGAATTTTGAAAATTCAATTCATTGTTACAGCAGGTGTTGCCTAACCTTCGCTTGGCCAGCGCAGATTCATTACAGTTTTTTCCATCGCTACAGGATGTTACCTGAAATGATTGAATTCACATTTTAGTAAGGCAACGACTTACAGTTTTTGTCTGAAGACAAGTGAGTCCCTCGGGGCGTGACCTGTGCCAAGTGAGAATCAGGGATCCCAGTGCTGGGGTGGCTGTGCAGGTGGATGCTCATCTGGGCTGTTTTGATGACATTGGGGAAGACCAGGTGTCTTTATACTGGTATGACTGGTTAAGGAGGCAGCTGTGTAGAAAAAGTCTATCTTTAAATCCTGCATTTTCAAAACGAGATGTTATTTACCTGTTAGGCCATCAGAATTCCTGCTTCCATTTGATTTTGAGAAGAATTGTATGATAAGGGAGATAGGTTTGCGCTGTTTAGGGTGTGAAGCTTATCAAATTTGCATTAAAACTCCGAATTTTCGGGAAACTTAGTTCTCCAGTGTCACTGGAATATTTTTTTCTCTTGTACAGCCTTTCTTTGCAGACTAATGTTTTGGGTGTTACCAGGCCAAGCCTCCTGAAGACCACAGCACCTGAAGCCCTGAAGGTGATGTGGTCTTGGTCAGCACTTGAGATTGGTCTCAGCAATTCATTTTGAATGTTCATCGCCAGAGTTGAAAGTACACATGAAGTGACGGCAACAAACAGCAAAAACTGAGCATGGGTGATGGTTGAGCAAGTACTGCTGGGTCAACAGAAAAGCAACTGAACTGGAATTCGCCTTGTCTAACCTTTCTGTTTGGTATTTCACGTTTCTCCAGTAATCTCTTTCCCAAAAGTGGGAGCTACCAGACCATTTCAATGCAACAGTGTTTGGACAGCGCTGATGGGACAAGGGTTTCCCATGAGAAGTGGCTGAAAACTTGTCCCAGTTACCCCAGGACTGACCAGAAATCCCGTGACTCTCAAGTCCAGAAGCCGCACCTGAAATCCTCTGGTTCTGCTGAGTCACAAGCAGGCAGAAGGCTGGAATTTGTCCTGATGAAATCTCAGGCTGCTGCCAGCTGGGTATGCTCATGGCAAAGGGAAGAGATCAGTAGGAGGGGAAAAAAAAAAAAAATCTAAGCAAGTATGTAAAAAGATTAGCAGGGGGAAGTTTTCTGTGTCCCTTAAAAAGGTGATTCATGCACCGAGAAACTTGTCCTGCTTCTTTTAACCTTGTACCAGTGTTTTATGTGAGTCCGGATTGAAGCTGGGATTGATGTCTGTAGCTTTTAGCTGTGTTTGAGCAGCAGCTTGCCTCATCTGGTGTCAGTGTAGAAATCACAGTTCTGTCACAAGCATGAGAAAGCATAAATGAGATGCTTCCTGAAGGTTCTTTTATTTTTCCAGAAAACACACTCAAGGACACCTGGGCTGTCTGGGGTTTGAGCTGCTTGTGAGCTTCGTCCTGCCCGTTTTCTTTTTCGTCTCCCACCTCCCTGTGAGACTGTTGCTTTGGAGCATAACACGGAATTGCCACAGACCACTTGGAAATCCTTATGTGCTACTTCTGTAGTTCAGCGTCCTACTATGAGAAAGATTTCTCTTAGGGGTGTATATTGAAGAAGGAATAATATCTCCTTGTGCCAAGAGCCTTTAAAGACAGGAAAAGGCAATACAGTGTGTGCCACTTAAACTTTCTGACTCTCACTCTTCCTTTGTTTGCTCTTGTAGCAAGTGTGTATTTTTGTATTTCTGGATTTTTTTATGTATTAAACAACGGCTGGGCTCTAGTGTCCAAAAGCAGTTCCCTGTGAGAAATTCACAACCCGCAGGAAAACTTGGCTCGTGGCCGCTCCATAGCCCAGGAGGGTTTGCTGGCAGAGCCCCGGGATGCCGGGGAGCACGTGACGGCGGCTGCGAGGGCAGGCTGGCTCCTCCGCGCTGCCAGAGCCGAGGGAAAGACTGCACAAAGTTATTCAAGGCTGCCCTTAGAGTTTAACGTGGAGAGAAGGTGACTAAATTGCCAGTCTGTTCGGTTTTGGAGCTACCTTTGCTACGTGTAGAAATGCAGCCTTTCCCTGTGTCGCAGGGTTTTTCCTTAGAGCTGTGTAGAATAATAGCTCCTTTACGAACATCGGTGTTATTGAGGTTGTTTATATAACAAGGACCTGATCCCATTTTACCTCCGTCCGCCATCCGACACTTGGAAGTCCGTGTTTGCAGGTGTTTGCACTCGCTGGGGCAGGCAGGGAATGCGGAGCCTGGGCACGGGCTTCCCCAGCTGTGCCCTGCCATGCCGCCGCGGTCCTGTCGCAGGGAGGGGCCGAGCAGGATTTTGGAAAGTTGGGCTCGCTGGACTGAGTAATGGGTGCCGAATCCAAGAGGAGGCTCGTTTGCCAGGGGCAGGCTGTCAGTGGCACAGAGAGCCGCTCTGGCAGGCCCTGGGCTCAGCGAATGCAAATACAGGCTGGTCTGGAGCGAGAGCTCTCAGCTCAGGCCACCTCGGTTCAGTCTCATCGTCCTCTCAGATGGGGCTTTGCCAGCAACTTGTTTGGGGAAGGAGTTAGGAAATGCTGGTGGAGGCTGTGGGTGATAGGTAACAGCTGCTGCTTATATGCAGAAGAAGCTAATAGATTGCTTATCTGATAATTAGTTGTAAGTTTAGCTGGGGGAGGGGGGAAGCTATGATTATCGGCTTTATGGTGGAGCAGCTCGTTGCATGTCACTCCAAGACCGTAAAAATCCCCCCACCAAACTGCTACCATCTACCTCTGCCCTGGCCCCACATGTGAAAATGAAGTAAAAAATGATGCGGCATGTCGCTGATGGAAACCCATTTCTGCTTTTCTTTTGCTGTGAAAGTCTTCTTCAGGGGTTTACAGGGAGACCTCATCCTGTAACAGAGATGCAATGCTTTGTTTCTACCCTGGTAGGTTTCCCCATGTCCGTGACGTGTTGGCCGGGGCTCTGCGGCTCCTCTCCGCCCTCGGAGCGGCCAGTCGCTGCCCTCTGGACTCCGTGATCCCCGACGGGCGTCATGAGCATTGCAATCCCTCTGGGAGTCACCACACCAGATACGTCCTACTCCGACATGGCTGCAGGATCGGAGTGAGTGTTACCCACGGAGGAGGAGAAGGAGGAGGGGAGGGTGTCAGAGGGCTGCCCTGGAGTGGGGCTGCAGGATTGGCACTGGTGCTTTCTCTGCTTGGGAGAAAGTGGGTGCTGGCCCGCTGGCTGTGGGAGAGATGAATGCAGAGACAGACCCTGAGTATTTAACAAGTGCGGTGTTACAGAATTTGGTAAGTTTGACACGGGAGATCGGGAAGAGGAGAGTTCCAGTGGTATGAGGCACTCAACCCTGAGTTTATATCAGCTTGGCTAGTAAGTCTGTACTCAAGTGTTGGCAGCTGTGTGTTTGCTGTATCCATGCTTGACATTGGCAAGGTACAAGCCAACTTCTTTTCCAAAAGCTGTGTTATATGAGGGATCAGTGTTGTGGTCCTCCTAGCTCAGACTCGGCACCAATCTTACGTGACCGGTTCTGGACCCCTTTCGAGCTTGGGCAGAAATATGAGACAGCATCAGCGTGTGTGGATGACGCCTCTGTTTGGTTTCTGCCCCTGAGAAGGTTCCAAGAAGCACACTTCAGTGGGCAAAACTTCGGGGTCCCCGCCATGGGACCCTGTGCAGGGCTTTCACTGCGGTCCTATCTCTGAGGCCTGTTAGAGAGGACTTACCATTTCTTATGGAAGACTCTGCTCCTGCAGGACTTGGGAACATTTCAAATCCAGATAATATTGCATTGTGATCTTTTCTTAAAACCCTTGTTAGAATGATGTCAGCTCTGATGAGTACTATGTTTTTGTCGGGGGCGAGCGGGAGGGCTCAAGTTATTTCTGTGTTTCTCCCTCCTGCTTTCCTGCATCCTTCTTTGAAATACAGACTGTAACATCTCTTCACAAAAATTTGCAAAGGGCATTTTGGAGATAGGTTTCCCCCATGTATTATTTAAAGGTACCTACTGTGCAAATACTTGCATGTCAGATTGGTCAGTGTAGAACAGATATTGTCCCAGACTATTAACTTTGAACTCTAAGAGCAGTGGGCTAAGGTATGAATCATGTTTTTTCCCTTCCATCTTGCCTTTATTTGACTATGCACAGAGTTTGACTACACAGTCGCACTCTCTGCAAGACTGCTAATACTCTTTTTTTGTCTGTCTTGGCACTGACCCCATTCTAGGCATTCTTCTTTGTGATGCTTCCTTACATTTTAAAGCCCATATTTTCACATGTTGTTTTTAAACAGAGTCAGAATCTACTAAGTCACTCATCTGCAGTGGGTATATGATCCTTCACTTTTCAAGATTTAACATTCGGTATTGGTTGTCATCATGCTTCTCCCACACCAGCACTTTAAAGACTCAACATGCAGGAATTTTAAACTGTTTATGACAGGAGAAAGAGTGCTAAATAGTTTACTCATGTACTAGGCACTTCAGTTTCAGAGCGAAGCATGATAGAGACAGAGAGCCAGATATATCTATGCATGTCCCTTGTAGCATTTAAATATCAAAAAGACTATCTGTAAACCTTCTGCAAAGCATTTCCTTTTTCCTTGGTTTTAAGAAATGTGAAGGTCCAACCTGAGGCTAGGCTGGAGTGCTTTGAAAAAAGCTTTTGAAGATTTCTGAATTGGTCTCTCTCTCTCTCTTGTTTTCTAAAAATGGGGATTGCCAGGACTTCTTTCTCCAGGCTTCACATTGCTGCTCTGTTATGTTCTGCTGAAGTGTTCTTCATGAGCCTGTTCAAAGTTAAGGCTACCTTCCACTTCTCCTTTGAAACTCCTTTGAAACGCTTGATGCGTGAGGTCTGGAGTACCTGAGCTGCTTGTCTCTTACGAGGGATTGCTTTCAAAGATGTGGATCAAGGAGGCGGCGGGGATATGAAAGATGAACTAGCTGGTCCTCTCTTTAGGCTGAGCTTTGGCATCTTCCCCTGGCCCCTGACACAGAGGGGAGGTGAAGATGCTGAAGGGTGTCTGTGTTCATCTGAGGGTCACACAGAGGCTGCAGCGCAGGTTTGCTGTGTTAGTCTGCCTGCAGGTTGTTGAAGCTCCTTGGCAGGCTGCTGCTGAGGAAGCACGGGCCCCAGCATTGTTGCTCCTGGACACCGTTGCACCAACAGGCCTGAAGTTTTATTGCTAATGCTTGCGGCAGCATTGCTGGTATTCCAGGCTGGCTGTAGTTAGGAATGTGAGTGACTTGGACAGAGGACAGATCTGTTGTTTAGGCTCTTTTCTTTCTAATGCTGTTTCTGAAAACACAATTAAACTTGAATGGGTTTAACTGTACCAGTCTGTAAGTCCTAAAGGACTGTTGCAAAGATCCAGCAAGGCTGGATTATGTGGCAAGCTCTGCACTGTGTCTTCTACTAAGAAATATGTCCTCTGAGAGGTATCGCCACCTATATCTCCTGCTTCTGACAGTTTAGCAGACGATAGTTATATTGAAAACCAACTGAATCTATCATGTCATACTCTTAAATCCTGAGATACAGAAGTGCAGTTTACGTAGGTTTAAGGTCTTTTTCCTGCAGTTCTTTGTACAATAAGGTATTGTTCCTTTGCGCTGCAAAGACAGATCCACCTTACCCGAGAATAAGCCAGACGGTTAGTGTGCTGAGAGTGTATCTGGTTTAGTGGTAGGGCGGGGCAAACTTGAGTGCAGCAGAGATTTCAAGAGCTAATAGGAAGTCCAAAGGGCACAGGGGTTAGTGTTCTTGGGTGGTGCCTGAGCACTGCCCCACGCGTGACTGCTGCCCCTTGTTTGAGTACTGCCTTATTCACGGCTGACAATGTAGGACCCACTGAGAATCCTCACCAGAGCGGCAGAGGTCCAAGGTAAAGTTTTGCTTTCCTGTATTTTTTTCTTTCCTGCTTGCTCATCTCCATGCTGTAATTTTGAAGAAGATTTCACCTGCAGACAGGATTCAGTAATATTTTGTGTTCTGGTATGGACGCTGCTTCTGATCTGTGCAGAGGTTAGCTGACTTGTATCTTCTGCTTGTGACAGACTGTGTTTCCCTGCTGGCACTCTGTCTGTAGCCTCATTATCTAATACTCCCTGCATTGAATTGCGGCTGTCCCTTCTCCGAGTAGGGTTTCTGCAGCTTTTTGCTAAGGATACACCTTTCATTTTTAGCTGTTTTTTTTCCACCCCCCTGTGGTGGAAGAGAGCATTGTACCTCAGCAGTAAATTTCCTGTTGGGCACACTGCATGCCGCGTTGCTGTGTAGAAAGCAACTGGGCAAATCTGATTTGTCCGTGGCCACTGTCTGTCCAGGTCACGAATTTTGTTGCCTCTTTGTAACAGGAATCTCCCAACTCCTGGTAGTTGCTGTCAGGACAGCCGCAGGTTTCATGCAGACTTGATCACAGGACGTTGGACTCAGCTAACAATTAGGATTTGAGGGAGAGAGAGCCAAGCGCAGACGCAGGAAAGCTGCTTAGCTGCTGTTTGAAATAAGCTGTCGCAGAGACAGCATGGCAGTACTGTTCAGTGGCTTTGAGATTAGGCTGGCTGAGTTCAGATGTAAATGCTGAACTAGACCCAACTTCCTCAACTATAAGGAAACTGAGCTTCTTACATGCTAATTATCTTTTTAACTTCCCAGATTGAGACCCAGATTAATGAGTTATCCAGGGTGGCCCTTACTCAGTTCCTTCCTTCTGAAAGCAGGTTCATCCTGTATGGCTTCTGCGCACATGATGCCTGGCAAAGCGCATAATAACACCTGAATTTCGTCAAGTTTCTTCATTTTGAGCTCATGTGTTGAATAGAAAAGAGCAGTGAAATACTGGCACTACAGAAATGATGTTGTATTGATGGGTTTTACTTCTGGCCCTTTCTGCAGCCCAGAGTCTGTGGAAGCTAGTCCAGCTGTCAGTGAGAAGAATGTGTACTCCAGCCACGGCTATGGGGCCACCCAGAAACACAGCTATCGCGGGCTGCCTTACGCAGTGAGTACTCTCTCTGCAGTGAATCAGCTCTTTACTGTCTCCTTCACTCTTTTCTCCTTGTTCCATAGTTCTTTGCCTGGTAAGCCTTAGGAGTTTTGGCTTATTTATTAGGGAACACTGAGTTACAGCTGAGTTCTGCCGTACATTTTGCATTTGTGTGTTTGTTTGTGAAGTCTTGCAAGACTAAGCAAGCTTTATGAGTGTTCTAGGTGATAGATTTTTAACTGAATGAAGTATATGAACAAAGTGTGAATACATGCGAATATATAATGTTTTCCTGGTGGTAATTTGGTGCCCCATTTGGTTCATTGTGCACTTTTTGTACTTTTTTCAAACTGCACAGATTTTCATACTGGTAACTTTTTTCATGCTGGTAACTATGAGAAACAAAGAATAGGCATGGTTTGAAAGTATGGGATGAACAGGATGTCACAGAATCCTTGAGGCTGAAAGGGGCTGCTTGAGATCATGTATTTCAGCTGCCCTGCTCAAGCTGTCTCTGCTCGAGTAGGTTACCCAGGACCATGTCCGGTTGGGTTTTGAATATCTCTGCACATGGAAACTCCACAATGTCTCTGGGCAACTGGTTCCAGTATTTGACTGCTGCTGATTATTAGCAGTACAACAGTTAATGTCGAAATCGCCTAGTCATTTTCATAGGGTTTGAATTTGATTTATTGGTGCGGAAGAAAACTATTCATGTCTTTCAGAGCTATTGCTTTACCTTCATGGTAGATTGAGGAATTCAGACTGTTGTTTTACGTCAGTTGTTAAATGATAACCTGGGAACTGTGAATTTGGGACTTGGTTTCTGGGCGTTGTATCTTCACGTTAAAAGTAGTACTGCAAATACTCGTTTTCAGGATCATAATTATGGAGCCCCTCCTCCTCCAACGCCACCAGCCTCTCCTCCTGTCCAGACCATTATACCTCGTGCAGAACTGAATGGCCTGCACTCGCCTGATGAGGAGAACTCCGGGGACAGTGAGAGCTCCTCAGAAGGAGAATCAATTCCTACTTGGTGTCACTGCAGTGTATCCCAAGATGGTTTCCTCCTCAAGTGTGAAAAGTGCAGGTGAGTTTTGGTGCAGTGCAGATCTGGACTGCTCCTTGTGTTGCCTTCTCGTACCGAACCGTGTCACGTTTGGGCTGTGGGACAGACTTCCTTTTGCTAACTGGAGCGTTCTTTCCAGTGCTTTACCCAGTATTGACCCTCCTCCTTTGCGTTGTCAGCCTGACAAGTGTTGGTGGCACCAGGAGTGGAGATGAGGATGTTAAATCGATGTTCTTATCATCCTGGGCCCCACTGAGGGCACGCATCTTGTGACATCCTGTTGAATTTCAAGTGACTTTACTCCTACAAACCAGCTTCAATTGTGCATTCTCCTTTGGCAGAGGAATGAGCAGGGGGAAGGTGATCAGACTCCGCCGCCGGAAGCAGGACAACGTGTCAGGTGAGCTCGAGGTTGTAATTCTGATAATAGTGACTTTTGCTTTCTTTCTACCAGACCTTTGTCTTTTGGCTGCTGTAATCATCTAACTGTGGTCAGTGCCTGCTAATGTTCTTTGCCTCCCAGCCACTGGGATTTTCTCCTCTCCTTCCGCCTTACCTCAATTAGCTCTTCGGAAAATCAGATTATCTTGTGAACAGAAGAGGGAAATGTTCATCAGTGCCATTCTGTGCGATATCAGAAGTTTGGGAGACCTGCTCCCGTTCTGGGTGGGAAAACTGAAATGGTATCATTTTCTCAGGGAAGAGCTGTGCTGGGGTCATGAAGTTGTCATGATGAAAATCGACATGAGGATCAGCTGTTCTCTCTAGAATGAATAAAACCGTTGATAATGAAGCGCTCCTCTCTGTAGGTGGGGACAGCAGTGCAACTGAGAGCTGGGATGAAGAACTATCTCCCTCTACAGTGCTGTACACAGCTACGCAGCACACCCCTACAAGCATCACGCTGACTGTCAACCGCGTCCGTAGAAGCAAACCTAAGAAGAGGAAGAGGAGTACAGAAAAAGCTCGTGCTGCTCCAAAGGCCAAAAAGATCAAGGTATGTGGAGTGAGACGAGGTTGCTGCAGTTCCTACAGAATGCTGTGAGGAGTATTGGTGAGAGCAGATCAGCGGTCTGGCAGTGGACAAGAAGCTTTTGTCCTGTCAGGAACTGCTCTTTCTGGTGTAATAATGTGACGCCTTGTGTTTGTGACCTGCTAGAGTACGTGGCTCTTGGTTTAAAAATTACCTTACTGGAACTCCACCCTTGTTTCCTAACACTGTTCATTCACACTCGGAGCTTGGATTCAGTTATGGATTTTCTCTTCTGCTCTATTAGCATTTTGGGAAATAACTTTTGGGATCTGTCTGTTTGTGGCCAAGGGGCAGTCTGTGAATGGAATGAGAAATGAAGGCATGGCATTTCTTCGCAAGCTGTGTTAAGGAATTTGGGCTGCAGAGCTTCTTGGCACTGTTCTTGAGGGACAGAGTTAGTGCCTGTGTGGAAAACTATGTAGGTAGTGATGAACATTTGTTGAGGGACGACTTTACTGTCGTGTTTGTGAAGATTTGTGGACTGCAATAATTTTGGATTGCATATATTGGAATACAAGTGTGTGAGCAGCTGGTTCTTTCCCATCATCTGCTAGCTTTACCGTGATTTTCCTCAGGTTAGGTTTCCCTTGAGGTTCTTCTGACAGGCACTGATTGAATAACACTGGAAGCAGGAGCCACGTGAGGTCTTCGGGGGTTTTTTGTGAACCAGCTTAATTCTGTTCTTGGCCCTTTCTTGTGTCAAAGCAAGTGGGGTTAGTCAGGACAGTTTTGGTTTTGATCTTGAGGTTTTTACTAAGTATGAGACAGGCCTTTTTAGTTCAGCAATCCTGGCCGTCAAGCTTTTCAGCAGTTTCCACTGGATTTGCATTGCAGAGTCTTTTTTTCAAGCCCACTGCTTCTTGTGCAGGTCTTTCTGCAATTCTTGCCGTCTTTTGTTAAGGGTTGGTCTGTTGGAGTAAGATCTGGTGTGGTTCTGAGACACGTTTCTGAGGAAATTTATAATACCTTATTTTTTCTCTCTTTCTCTCCTTGTTTGGGCGACAGGCCTTTCGAGAGGGCTCACGAAAGTCTCTGAGGATGAAGGTGAGTAGAACTGAAAATGCTATGTGATGGTGATGGGCTTTTTGCCCCATATTTTGTGCCTCTCTTGGTTTGCCAGGAGAATTGCTGATTGTGAGACCACCCTCAGAATAACTTGAGCCTTCCATGTGCCACAAGCAGGCCTGTTCAAAAGGGTGTCGCAGGAATTGCCTCTTGAACCTTACTTGTGTTTTGTCTAGCTTTCTGTAAGGTAATCCAAGAGATACGACTGATTCATGACACTTGGGAGTGGGGTGTTTGATGTAAAGGATGTAGAACTGGTTGTGGCCGCCCTTCTGTGAGGTCAGTTATCATTTGATTGCATCAAAGCTTTTTTAAGCTTGGACATCAAAGCAATACACAAGTTTAATGTTGGGAGTCCCTGGCAGTGCTGCTTTGTTTCTCTCCACACACTCTTACCTAGGGATGGCTGGGATGATATATTTATCTCTGGCTTTCTACAAAACTAGTAGGTGTGGCTGTGTGATAGAAAGTTTATTTGACCAAAAAAAGTAGACTTGCACTGTGAGCTAAACATCTTCCTAGAAACACAAGAGGTGCCTTAAAATTTACTCAATTCCATCTGCCCCCAGTGCTGCAGCTGACAGTGGCTTCTAGCAGGTGGCTCAGAGGGAAACAGGACAGTCCTGTGGTGTGTCTGTCTGCATGTGCCTATCTGTGTAGCATGCAAGTGCCTTGGGAGGGTAAAAACACATGAAAACTCTTAATGCTTTTAATATATATGATGAAAATAAAGATTGTTCTTCAGTGGGCCTTGTCACTGTTACCTCAGTGTCACATATGTCTCAGTCCCTTACAAAACCGGTTACGTTACTGACCTCTGGAATATTATTTGTTAAATTGCTTCAACTATTTTCAGGTAAAGACTGAAGCTTTTTTTTTAAATTTTCCTATCAGCTTCGTCTTTCCCCTCCCTTACAAAATGGTATAAACTGATTACCTGATTTTGCACTTTCTTCTTTTTACACTGCTTAGGACTTGCAATTTTAACCCTCTGAGTATTCGCTTATGCGCTACATTCAGTTTCTTAAAGCCCTGATGACCATTTAGCTGGAAGTTCAGAATTATTTTCAGATCGATTGCTGCAAAGATTGAGATACAGTCTGCATCATCTAGTGTTGTGTTGGGCATGAGTGGGTTGACTGTAGGACAAGCCTGCATGAGTGGGTTGACTGTAGGACAAGCCTACATGAGATTAGTGTGTTCTGTTCCTTTGCTTTTTGAATCTACATAATTATTTTTTACTAAGTGACTTTAAAAAACCCAAAACTTTTTCTGGCCATATACTAGCTTAATTTTCTTGTATGTAACAGTGTCAGGTACCAATTCTCAAGAGGTCTTAGTCCCACACAGAGTTCTCTGTAGGTTCCTAGGTGGCACTTTGTACCATGTTCTGGAGGGTGCAGGTTCTGAAAAAGGTGTCCTCCTTACTGACACTTTCTTAGCTTGGAATAGATTTGCTGTTTCCTTTTAGCATATTCATGTGCTTAGAGCACAGCCCAGAGCACTCTTTTTTCCCCGTCGTGTGCTAGCCATTCACTCTTTGTTGTTTGGTGCAGAATTCCCCTTCTGAAGCACATGCCTTGGATGAAAACACAGCTGAAGGGTGGGAGAATCGAATACGCCTCTGGACAGATCAGTACGAAGAAGCCTTTACAAACCAGTACAGCGCTGACGTACAGAACTTGCTGGAGCGTCATCTAAACTCTAATAAAGAATATGTGGGCAAAACTGCTATGCTAGACACAATCAACAAAACAGAGCTGGCCTGCAATAATACTGTCATTGGGTCCCAGATGCAGGTAAGAACCCTTGTGACAGTACTGGGGTCGCTCAGGTCCTCTAGTTTCTAGATAGAACGTGTGGGTGAGCAAAATCGTAACTGGTCATATAATTACAGGCCAATAGGCATGGACTTGATATAAAAGGGAACAGGAGAGATCCAGTACCAAGACAGATTCAGAAACACTCGCATTCAACCAAATCAGTCTTGCTAACGTGGGGGGGGTTTGTGTGGTTCTGTGATAACGGTTCACAGGTATTTTACCATAAGTGCTTTGGTCACTGTAGGGCTTGAGGCAGAACCAGATCTATCACTTGCTGGAGATAGGAACTTTCCTGCTTTCCAGCTCAGTTGTCTTTTTTTTTTTTCTTTTTTTTTTTTCCTGGCTCATATTTTGTGAAAAGCTATTTTAAAGAATCTTTCAACACTATTTTGATATTTTGGATGGTTGTTTGGACTCTGGTAACTTTCAAATATTGTACAGCTGAAACTGATTTTAGGGAACTGTCTCTCCCTAACTTTTCTCTTCTGGGCTGTGCAGTGATTGGTGTCTTGCCAGCTTTATGGAGTGCAAGTAGACAAGGGCAAACAGGAAAAGGATGTGTTTGTGTGGTGTATGTCCTCCCTGCTACTCTTCTCAGCTGATGTTTCATCTGGTCCATACTTTACTGAACACAGAGCAGCATTTACACTCAGGTCAGGCTTTGTGTGATGTCCTTGTCCAGGAGAACAGAGATAGGTACAACTGAAAAGGGTGGGCTTCAGAAAAGATGTGGAGCACCTCTTCTGTAGAAGGGGAGTAGAGTCAGAAACCTGAATATCAGGTATATGTTTGTGCTTGAATTATTATTGTTTATATCGACTGACTCACCGCTGTGTGAAGTTCACGTGCTCCCTCCCACCCTTCCCTCTGCTTTCATGTAGTTGAAGCACGTCAGGCAGAGCACAGATATTGCCAGTAAGGGAGAGTGCAGAAAGAAGACTTTGGACCCAACTTTCCGTTCTTGCCTCTAGTTCTGCAATAATAATAAGACATCTGGCGGGGGGAGGGTACGGAGAGGAAGAAACATTTCTCCTTGGCTGGAGTAGCCTTCTTAAAGAGAGCAACTGAGGGAAATGTAGGGAAGAAAAAGTTCTGCTTCTCTGGAAATCTTAATATTTTCTGAGTCTAAACATAAACTCTATCTCCCTCACATGAGTTTTAGCAAAAGTCCTGAAATAAGGAATAAAACATATGCTGTTCCTTTTATCACCTTCGTAGAGTACAGCAGAACAGGTAATTATGAAATATATACATAAATGTGCTTGTTCTTGTCATACTCTCTTGCCCTCTCCCTTCCCTGTACAGACATAGGTTTTCCCACAGGGAAAAGTGGCCAGCATTCCAAATCGGAAGACTCCAAACACGATCTATCCCAAAGAAACAAAAAGATAGGAAGTTGCAAAACTTCATAGTGAGCTGCAGTTACTCTAAACCAGCTGTAGGTAGGTACCTGTCATTGCACATGCTGGGAAAGTGTAAAGGGACTTAGTGGCTTTGTTGTTCCTCTTGGATACTGAGGAACAGACCAGGTGACTCTCCTGGGCTGCTGCTCGTCAGCCTGTAGGTCCTTGTTCTCTCTGCTCTTCAGAAGGCTGTGGAGTGTGTGGTCTCTCATCCTGTGCTCTTCTGGTTTTGTTCTGCTCATTTTTCTCATCGTTGTTAGACAAACTGAGAAGGTTTCTTGGTTTGAGTCAGTTGTCTTTTAACTAGATATTATTCCTGGATGTAAAAATAACCTTTCTGGGACATAAGGAAATAGGCACTTTGTGCTAGAAGAGAGAAGGAAGGAGGTCGTGTCAATATGCACATAGCAGCTGTGTGTAGAAGATGGGTGTTGTAACTGCTGTATTTGGCCACGAAGACTCTGGAGAGAGCAGAAAGGAATAAAAATATTTTGTATGCCCTGCATGCTCTCACAGTTGAGAGTTGTTTGGCTTGGGTAAACAATGATGCAAGTGTATACTTTAAAAAAAGAGAGGGAGTAGAGAAGAAAGCATGACCTAAAAGCTTCCTCAATAAAGATGGGATATGGGATTTTGATCATTGGGATGTTTTGGATGAACCAATTCTCAACCATCCTAATGATGCAAAGGAAAACTTGGGCAAGCATGGAGCTGCTCAGTGTTATGAATAAAATCATCTTAGTGCTCGCTGCTGCCAGATGCTTGACAAACTGAAAGCTCTGAATCACTTTTCTGCCTGCAGTTGCCAAACCAAACCCAGGGTCAGTATTCGCCCTTTGTTGCCTCTGATAATTGCTGACTTGAGCTCAATTCCCTGATTGATTTCCCGTTCTGAAGTGAAGAGCGAAAGGGCCTTTATAAAATAAAGCCACTGAGTATTATGCAGATGTTGCTCTGCAAACATATCAGAACAGTTTTGACTGTTTAGCAGTCAGCAATCCCTAGCCTATGACACGAATAAAATCATTTGTTCTCTTCACACATGAAAGCATAGCAACTAATCCTCTTCATATTTCTAAATTCAGGGAATGAAAACAAGCTGAGGTAGGGTCTTATCAGAAGAGCTATGAGATCATCCCTGTTTTACCAAACTCAGATAATTAAGCTCTACAAATGCAGAGCTTCTCTTTTGTTCATGGGCTCTCTTCTCCTCCCACCACGCTGCTCTATCCCACCTGTGTTCCCCAAGCTGTTTTCCAGCATCAGGTGAGCAGTAATACAAGTCAGTCGTGGGCAGAAGGTGAGAGCAAAGGCTACCAGACGTTAACTTGTGTCTCTGAAAGCCGCTAAGAGAATTTGATAGAGTAGTTGAATAATTAGGTTGGGAGGAACCACTGAAGGTCATCTGGTCCAACCCTCCTGCGCAGGGCCAGCTTCGATGAGAAACTGATTATAACAGCAAACAAGTGGTAGTATAGAAACAAAATTAAACTGGAGACATGCTTGCATCTCAGTCCTAATTTATCTACTAACTTCAGGTACTTTATCTCCTTCTGTCACACACTATTAAATCTAGTCTGATTTACTTATTCTCTATTACCGCAGTTGGGTAGTATGAAGTGTATCTGATGTATTTAAAATAATTCAGCCACTACTCTCAGGAATGTAAGTAGCCTTGTCCTACAGTTACTAGTGTCGTGGGTCTGTTGATCGGAAACTGGAGCCAGCAGTGGGGCTTCCTAGTCTGCAAATAACCTGGGGGGTTTTATGGCAGTTCAGTGGACTTGGGGGATCTTCTGAGCTCCTTTCAGGACACCTGCGACACGAAGAGATAAGTGACACCCTGCAAGGCTTTTCAGAGTATCCAATACATTCATGCAGATTTTTCCAATTGCTGGCACATACAGTGGTATGAAAAAGAGATATCCTCATAGGCATAATAAATGTGGCACTGGATCTTTCTCTAAGAGGAGATCTGAAATAGCAAGACCATTACTCCTGTCTGCATAGATTTTAAATGAAATTTTTTTATAAAGCTATCTTTATCCTGGACAAGAATGAGAGAAGTCAACCATAGATCTTAATTTACTGGCTGATTCAAGATCTGCAGTATAATGTCATACTAATACAAGCAAAGTCGTCTTCTCCCCCAAAGAGGTTTAATTCAGAGCACATGGAGTCTCCTTCTCTGGAGACTTTCAAAACCCACCTGGACGTGTTCCTGTGTGACCTACTGTAGGTGATCCTGCTCTGGCAGGGGGGCTGGACTAGATCATCTTTTGAGGTCCTTTCCAACCCTGAACATTCTGTGATTCTGTGATACAAGGTTGCTACAGTATGGAAAGTTTCATTTGATTCCCAGTGCCCAGTGCTGCCTTAAAGCATTAACTCTTACTTTCACAAGGTTAGAACATCATATGTTCTCTCTCGTTGTCCAGACTGGGCTGATGTGGTTTTTATTCATTTCAGCGGATTGCCCAGTAGCTGTTTCTAGCAAGGGAGTTTTACAAGGAAAAGTTGGGAGTTTACTTTTAATTAAATCTTGTGGTTTACTTCTAATTTGGGTGACTGTCATTACTACTGAAGTAGGGATGCTTATGCCACAGTTCACACCAGAAACGGATCAAAAGCAGTGAGTAGCATGCTTAGGAAAGAGCAGGCACAGCTCTCTTGCAGAGAGGTTCAGTCTGTTAAGCAAGAAAAGCACTTTGTTTTTGTGGAAGAAGTCTTTCCTGTGCCCTAGTGCTTGTAATATCCCTTCCATTATTCCATAAAATGTGTCGTATTTGGATGTCTGTGCTTAAAGAATGTTGTGGTTTAATACTGTCCATTCACATTGTTGTGAAAAATCTATTGTAATAAAGGTGCAGACTTTCTAATATAAAGAAGATTCAGCAAACTGTCACTACTTAGTTAAAAATGTTCGTGTTAAAAAAACTACATTAAAATCCACAACACTAGTTGAGCGGGCAGATGAGAAGTTTCTGGATGGGGATAAGAATTGCCATCTCAAGTCTTTGGCCTGTTAGCTAGCATTTACTGTCCTCTGCAGAAGGAAAAGTTTGTATTTTTTCCTCTGAATGTGTGACAACCCACAATTTAGGGAAGATTTGAGTTATTCTGGCTGCGAAAGTGGCCATAATTGCAAAGCAGTTCCCTGTTAGCAGCAACTGACAGGTCTGGTTATGCCTCCTAGCTGCAAGACTGAAATACTTAGTCTGATTTGGGAGACTTACTCTTGAAGGAGAGGAATAAATACTCTTTGCTTTTAATAAATATTATCAAGGTCATAGTTTATTCTGTAGCACTTCAGTAACGACCAATATGTTCACCTGGCAGAGCTTCTGTGTGTTGATACTAGAGTAATTTTTCTTTTTGTGTAGGTAAAATATTCTTCATGAGTTAGAAGCCTTTGATTTAAATTCTCGTATTTTGCTCTGGTTTGTGTTACAGCTGCAGCTGGGAAGGGTGACACGGGTTCAGAAGCACCGGAAGATCTTGAGGGCAGCGAGAGACTTGGCACTAGATACCCTCATAATTGAGTATCGAGGGAAGGTTATGTTACGACAGCAATTCGAGGTCAATGGGCATTTCTTCAAAAAGTAAGAGTACTATGAAGTGATTAGTATGAGAGCATCATGGCACGGAGAGACGAGTGTCTCTATGGGATAATGCGCACTCGCAGTGCTCTTGTCAGCCGTGCCGTCCTAGTTCACAGAAATGTGAACTGAAATACACAACCTCAGCTTGATGCTCTACTTACGGACCAAAACCCTTTGAATAGCACTGATGGAAGCACTGCTTCTAGTGAAGTGAGGGCTACCTGTTGTAAGTGCTGTGGGAATTGGGTATTTGGGGATTGAGATGTTCTGTTACTTCTCCAGGCCATATCCCTTTGTGCTGTTCTACTCCAAGTTCAATGGCGTTGAAATGTGTGTTGATGCCCGCACCTTTGGTAATGATGCCAGGTTCATCAGGCGTTCCTGCACTCCGAATGCAGAGGTAAATGCTCTCTTCACCATCACTGTAATTGCAAATACATCTTTTACACAGGCTTAGTGCATTCTTTTTTTATGAATATTCGAACTTAAAATGCAATAAATGGGGTAGATTCCGCATCTCTTGCTTGTTTGGTGGTTTATTCTTGGAAGATGTGAAGGTTTGGGAACGTAAATTTTTTAGGAAAAGGTTTCTTTTATGGCTTTCCTTTGGCTGCAAAGTGGTAGTTAGGGTAAGCAGGTGGTATTAAGTACAAATGGGAAAGCCCAGAGTGAGACAAGCAGTGAAGCACGCTTTTCCCCATGGAGAATGTAGGATAATTATTCACAGACTAGATAAGAGCTGCTTTGCAGAAGGAGGCTTCCCGCTTGGACTTAAGTGCAACTTGTGGAGATGTTAGCTTCTCTCTACTTTGTTTAACAAGGTTCGTCATGTGATTGCTGATGGGATGATCCACCTGTGCATCTATGCTGTTGCCACCATTGCCAAGGACACAGAGGTTACCATCGCCTTTGACTATGAGTACAACATCTGGTGAGTCCTTCACCTCGCCCAGGAGCTCTCCACTGCCCTCCTGGACTGGACATCTTCCTCCAGCCCTTTCCTCGCATTCTACATTTTGCTCCGTTTTCTACTGAATTGCATTTCCCGGCTATTCTGTCCAGTTCTGCTGGCATATTCTACAATAGAGGCCATAAGGTAGCCTGCTGTCCTTGCTTTGGCACGTGGTGAGATGTTTAGTAGGAGATGAATTGAATGTCTCTGTGCAAGGGTTGAGAAACGAAGAGTGACACGAATTATGTTTGTGTTTTGGAGCAGCAACTATAAAGTGGACTGTGCGTGTCACAAGGGGAACCGGAATTGCCCTGTGCAGAAACGTAGCCCAAATGCTGCAGAACACCTACCTCCACCTGTTTTAGGCACACTGATTGGGGCAGAAACACGCCGGCGGAAAGCCCGTCGAAAGGAACTAGAAATGGAACAGCAGGGCATTGCCTCGGATGAGAACAGCGGTCAGCAAACGGAGGAAGTTCCTGAGGGACCTGCAGCAGTCAGTGACAATGAGGTAAAACCCCCGACACTTTGGTATAGGTGTTTTTATCATTCCGTGGTGAGGGAGCTGATCCAGTACAGCACTGGAATCTTCATAACAGAACTGCAGAGGGCCTTCTTTAAACCTTTAGCACCTAAGATTACCGTAGGAATCCTGATAGTTTTTAAACAGTGCCGGATTTTATTTGACATACTGAGTCTGCCCTTCTCTTTCAGGTGACGGAGAAGGAAGAGAAACACGAAGGGGAGAAAGAGGAGCCTGTAGATGAGCAGGGAGCCTTGGTCCACAGCCGACGGGCAAGTACCTTTCTCAGTCTGGGTATCATCCCCCTTAGGACTTGCTTCATGCAGTGACCAACAGGTCCAGTTGGTTATTTCACTTGTTTCAACATAATTCCAACTCTCAGTGGTTTGTAGTTTGTTTTTTAATTGAAAGAGAATAAATGGAAAAAATGTAACCACAAACTGCCCAGACTGAATCCACATCACTGGATTTATAGCAGGATACTACAGCAGATTGGAAGGTATAGGACAGATTTTTTTCCTGATGGAAAGGTTTAACTGTTACTTTCAGGGCCATTCTAAAACCTAAAACAAGCCATTAACAAGATGATCAGCACCAGATTCAGAAAAGGGAATTTCACTGTTTTTATGTTCCTGCTGCCCTTCCTTATTGCCAGTAGAAGAATTTATGGAGCCATATAGAATCATAGAATCATAGAATAGTTTGTGTTGGAAGGGACCTATAAAAATCATATAGTCCAACCCCCATGCAGTGAGCAGGGACATCAACTAGGTCATGTGATGAACTAGAACCTGATTTTTGTTAAAAGTTTACCTGTTTTGCTGGGTTAAGTTTGTTAACAGGTATCTGTTCATCAGCATGTTGTCATGTGGGAAAGGAGTATGGTCAGGTGGCAAGAGGGGTAGGCCACCAGCAGCACTATTGGGGCAAGTCAACAAAATTTGCTGTGTTCTTTATTAGGAAACCCCCTTGGGCTCCCAAATCATTGTTTTCTTAGTCATCTTGATCAAAATATTTCTCAATGCTCTCGGATCTTTGATAACACAGTCCTTTCTCAGCTGCCTTCTGTACTGAGTAGAGATGAAGTATTTTTCTTGTGCTTCTTATGGCACCTGAAGTTGCACCCTGTGTTAGAATGTTTTATGCCTGTGAGTTGAGCTGTTCTGGCTCTACTTAAATCTTTCCTTTTCTTTCTTTGTTTTTTTAAATTTAAAAAAAACAAACAAAACTAAAACAAACACCCCTCCTAAGAAAGAAAACCAACAACCAACCAGCCAAAAGCCAAAGGAGGAAAGAAGTGCTCCACTCCTTCTACTAGCCATCAAATGTGTTGGAGCCAGGAGTCCCATGTTTTTCATTTGTTCACCAGATACTTTAATCACTGTCTTTCTCTAACGAGAGATACAGATCTTCCACATCTAAATTTCCCGAGAATGATATGAATGTTAAGATAGTGCAGCAAATTGCAGAGCTGAGGGCCATCCAGTGGTGAGATCTTTGGATTATCTCACAGATTTCTTTTTTTAGAACAGGCAAGATAAAGCAGTCAGTTTCTATTGAAATCTGAATAAGAGCTGTCATCTACCAGACTGGCCTTAAGCTTGGAGGGAAGATTTCCTTTTAGCACAGGGAAGCTGATCTCTTTCTGGAACAGTGTAGTTCAAGAAGACTAAGTGAAGTATTGAGTTCCTGTGAGCCTGTAAGCCCTGTTCCTGTACGTTCTGCCAGTTAATCTCCTTTAATGAGATTCAGCTTTCTATACTTGGCATCAGGTAAATACCTGTATCTATAGTTTTCCCAGTTTCTCTTTTGTGTGTGCACATACTGAACATTTTGAACAGAAAACCATAAAGGCCAGGCTACTGTGATTGAGTACTGCTGTGTGCTTCAAGATACATTCTTCTCTGTGACAAGTCTCAGCAGGCACTTGACCCCGCTTCTTAAAATTCACTTGATTCAGCCTATTTTTTGCCAGTCACTGCAGCATTATTGTATTGGGTCTTTTACGTGCATAACTAACAAATTATTTCTGACATAGCTAGGTTGTAAGATTTACTGCCCCTTCTGTTTACCTAATAAATACCTTTGTTTTGCCTCTCTATTCTCTCGTGTTCTGTTTTTCTTATCCACTGTGTAAGCTGCTTAGACAAGAGCTTTTATTTTTGAGCTGGGTGATCTCCTGACACCGGGGAAGGAATGAATCTGGATCGTTTTTAGTCCGTTTGTGTGGTGTGTTCATACTTGCTGCAAATTACCAATTTACTTACTTCTCTTGCCTCTGTCTTTTGTTTGCTTCTAGTGTTTCGTCATTAGCAAGTAGCTCTGTTTGTTTCCAGGGTGTCTTTTTGTTCTATTTATTCTTCCTTACGGGTTTTGCTTCTTAAAAGTTACGTGTTTTCTTGTGTCTGTTCTATAAATGTAGCTCAGTAGTATCTTAAGTGGTCCTACTTAAGAACAAAGTTTAGTTCTTCTAGTTACTCTGTGAACACATGATTATGTTTTTATTCTGGGAAATTTGCCATGTTGAAAAATGCAAATATCAGAAAAGAACTTCTTCTCTCTGTCCCCTATCTAGCTCTTGTCATTGCTTTTTGGCGTTGTTTTTCCTGTGCGGCATCCCATATGTGTTCTTGCATCCTCCTCTTTGTGTGCATAATTTGCAGTGCTGACTTAAATTTACTCTTATGTTCTAGTCCCGGGAAGACAGGAAGGTAGAAGCCATCATGCACATGTTTGAAAACTTGGAAAAGAGAAAGAGGAGACGAGAGCAGCCATCAGACCGTAACAGCACCGATGCTGAAATAAGCATCAGTTCAGAGGCTCCTGAGCTGGAGGAAATAAAAACAGAGACTCCTGAAACTGAAGATGGAAGTTCAGCACTGAGTGCTGCTCCCCCGATTGTTTCTAACAGTAACAGCAGTACTGGGGTGAACACACGGCGGTCTTCACAAGTAGCGGTAAGATGAAGATGGGACTGTTTAGTAGCTTGTACCAAGCTCAGATGCAGCACAACTGATTGTAAGATCATTCAGGTTGGGAGGAGCTTCTTGGAGTCTGTAATCCGTTCTGCGTCAGATGGAATCAGCTCTGAGGTCAGACCAGGCTGGCTGGGGTTTTATCCAGGCTTGCTTTGAATAACTCCAAAGGTGGAGATTGCACAGCCCCTCTGGGAAATCTCTTCTAATTTGTGACTGCTCTTATGATGAAAAAATTTTGCCTTGAATCCAGTCTGAACCTCTCACTTCAGTATTTGTACATTGATGCACCACTGCGTCATCTTGGTGGCTTCAGTCCAGATGCAGGAGGGACCCCTCTAAGCTCCCCCTAAGTCATCTTTTCCCTGGGCTGAACAAATCCAGCTCCTTCACTGGGCAAGCACTTCTCTACTGGTGTGAGCTTAAAGTTGGATGCGTAAATGCAGTGATTGAGGAATTCTTTTGCTTGTTTTTTGGAGTTTTTTGCCCAGTCTGCTCTGGATGCATGTGTCCCCATTATATGGCAGGGCCCAGATACTCAAATTGAGAGTAAGAACTTGAGCCTTGAGCCAAGTGGCAAGTTTTGTACTGCTGCTTTCTTCCTGAAGACCAGCGTTCTGGTTAACCCCTTTCAGAAGGCAGCAGACAAAATGATAGTGCGCCAGTGTTTTAGAAGGATTCCCAAAGCCATCTTATGAGCCAATACAGAGTCCAGTCAGATTTTATGGGTTCAGGTAGTGTCAATAAATAAATCTCAATCCTTGATCTTACGTGCAGAGAAAAGGAATACTGAGAGAGATGCTCAGACTGATGATGGTTTACGTTGCAGGATGCTGTCCCTGAAAAAACGGTTGCTAAGCCAGCTCCAGCAAAACCCTCAAGGCCCCGACCAAAAAGTCGCTTCTCTCGATACCGGACCAGTTCAGCACAAAGACTGAGAAGGCAGAAACAAGCCAATTCCCAGCAAGCTGAAGTCGCACAGGCTGTCCCAGAGGAAGGAAGCACTGCCAGCTTGGTAACCGCAGCAGACGTCAGCAACGTAGAAGGTCCAGGAGAAGGCCGACAGTTGATGGGATCTGACCCAGCTGCTGTCTTGGCTGCAGGATCTCAGTCTAATCGAGCGGCAGTAAAGTACCCCAAAACTAAAAAGGTAAATATGATCAAGTGCTCAAACTGGAGAGAGGTTAAAAGAGGTTTTGTGTGGCCTTCGGGGAAGGGTTGGCTCAGGGGGAACAATTCTTCAAAACAGTTGAAATTATGTGACTTTATTTCCTGTATTATTTGTTCTGTGGTGGGTAAGAGCCCTCATCATGCCTTGAAATCTGACTGCTCAGCCCTGGGCACACAGAGATCAGAAACAGACATTAGCTGATCTTTACAGCAAATCTGTGTAGACCTTAGATACTGACAGGATGATACAGGTGCAACAGGAAGGGTCTCGGTTTGGGGTACCACAAAGAGTCTAGAAAGAGACAAATTATACAGCTTTGTGTATGCAGGGAAGAAACTGCTCCCAACTTGAGGGGCCCTGAAGGGTTGAAGGTGTTTGGCAGCGTAAGGAATTGAGTGATGGAGGCTGAGTCCTGGGTGAGGGAAGCAAAAAGCAGGTGTTTGAGTACTGGTGTGGAGGGTGAGGTGTTCCTGCAGGGAAACAAGGTGGAGAGCTGATATGTTTGGATCTATGCACAGTAAGGTAGCAAAAGCTTTTGGTGGAAGCATGCAGAAGTGGATGTTATAACTCTGATGGGGTTGCTGGCATTTAAAAACTAAATGCTCATAGTTGGAGAAGAGCACTAGCTCCTGGGCCCAAAAAAAGGACAGTTATTAGAAAGTGTCGAGTGCATGTGATCTCAAGAAGTTTTCTGCGTGTTCCGGGTGTCTTCAGAAAGTAGAAAAATAGTAGAAAAATACTGTCAACCAAGAAAGTCACCTTAAATCAAATAACATAAAGGTGTAGTGAGACTTGCTTAAAAGAAACACAAAAACCCACCTTGAAATAGCCAGGGTGTTCCACCTTGTGAAGGATAGTAAAACAAGGGTTCTCTTGTGTATACCAGCAGGAAGAGCAAGGAAAGGAGAGGAAAGTGAAGTCATTATGTAGTAAAGATTAGCTGGAATTTAAAAATAAATTTAGGATGGTATACAAGTTTGTATAGTGTGGGAATCAGTGGCGGTATCTTTTTGGGATGGGGTGGGGTGGCAGGCTGCTGATGGGTATTTGTTTAGGAGAAGGTAGAAGTTAGCTTTCGGCTTAGAACTGAAGACTGACAGGGAATGTGACTGTGGACTATAATGTACAACCTGGGAGAAACTTGTAAGTGGAGGAAAAATTGCAGAAGCTAGCGGGCAGCTGCCATATACTTAATGGCATAATTTAGCCGTTAATATATTTAGGCTTGCAGCTAGCAACCAGTTTTGAGCAAGGTGATCAAGTTTTGGAAGAACCTTCTAATAAGAGTAATGGAGGGTACAATCGCGCTGCTTCTGTAAAACTGGATTACCTGGTGTGCCTATAACAGGGGAATTGGGTTTGGCACAGGAACTCCTGCCTCTCTTCCTTCCTGTTGAGGAGGTGGGAGGTTTTAGAATGCAGGCTGACCTGAGCGTTGCTTCCCCGTACGTCTTCTGTGCCACACTGCTTTTCTTCTTCACCCAGACTACTTGCATTGATGTGTGTGTTTTCTCCTTCAGTATCTTGTTACCGAATGGCTGAATGACAAGGCAGAAAAGCAGGAGTGCCCGATCGAATGCCCTCTGCGCATTACAACAGACCCAACGGTTTTGGCAACTACCCTAAATATGTTGCCAGGTCTCATCCACTCCCCGCTAATTTGTACCACACCTAAGCACTACATTCGTTTTGGTTCACCTTTCAACCCTGAGAGGCGTCGAAGGCCCTTTCTGTTGGATGGAATTTACAGCTCCTGTAAAAAGGTACGTTTGGTCATGTCTTACTTTCAAGGGCTATATACTCATCAAGCTTTTACTGGCAAAGTTTTGTCCTCTTGGAGCCTATTTCCATGTGTTCCTG